AGACCCGGGGTACTGTATGCAGCGCTGTACGGTAACTATCAAGTTTTGTTTGATTTTGTCGAACACTATGTCCATAACCATTTCCTCGATTCAGTATCAGTAATTCTTCATGCATTCCATACTTCTTCATCGTATACGTGCACTAATAAGGTTTGTGGATCTTTGACTGTAATTTGCGTAAGCTCCCTTAAAGGCGTGCTGCCATTTTTATGAGGTACTAACACGGAATCAAGAATGGCTTGATAATTGAGAAATTTGATTATTAACATGAAATTCATCTTTTTCGAAAAATATTTAATCATGCATTGTATAAACCTGGATTTGCTTGTCCGATCCTCATTGCACCATATTCTTTTTTTAGCCTTCCGATAATAGAAGTCATTTTAGTTGTGATACTAGTCATATCAAAGACTCTACTGTTTGCCTCCTCTTTATCTTCTACATCGTCCTCTTTTTTAAACGCTACTTTATCCTTTTTATCACTTTTCCCACCAACTTTCTTTTTAGAAACCAACAACCGTCGTTGGCTGATAGAATTGGGAACAGAAGAGGGGAGTGATAAGGTAAAAGCTAAAGGTGCAATGGGGTCGTGACTGGTGTGAAAGAGAATTCTTCTAAGGAACATTTAGATATTATTAGAAAACGCGTCTTAGTCTTAGTATGGTGGAAATTCGTTTTTATTGGTTAAATTAGGCTTCACGATTTTGATTGGCCAACGTCGACGATCAAAAAGAAAAATTAATTTCAGCCCAAATTATGTATGGTGCGGGCCAGAATTTTGTCTATCATAGCCGTTGGCCAATCAAAGTCGTGCGGCATCTAGGTTTGCATCATTTGCCGGGAAAAAAATTTTTTTGTTCACGGTTGTTCAGTGAACACAAAAATCAGTTTTTTTCACATTTTGTGAACATAATAATTTTTATTTAATTAATAAAACTTTATTTGTAATCATTATTGTTTCGATGTAAAAAATGTACGTACACAAAATCATTATTATTATTATTTTGAATTTCCAACACTGATCAGGACAAGAATATGTAGTCGTGTAGTGGCAAGTTAATCGGTATTTATAATTTATGTTTGAAACTGACATCCAATAAACTAATTAACTAACAATACGCATACGATAGTGATAAATGTTACAATCAGTTAGCGATTAAAATCATACAATGTTAACATTTGATTAAAGCTGAATATTACATTTTATAAGTGTACATTCATCAAATACAATATTTTTAAAGCTAATTCATTCATTACGATATAAAATATCGTAATGCCCAGGTCTGTAGAGCAGCACCAAAGGTTTCAGATATAAAACACCTTTTGAAGCTTCTTCTGGATAAAATTCATGAAAATTGACTTGATCAAGCGCGTCGGAGCTGCTCATATATGCAATTTCAACAGGAATTTTTAAAGCTCGTGTCAATACAAGGACATGAATATGGTCGGCCTCTTTATCCATGCCTTCCACATATTTACTACAATACTTATCCATTTCCAAATCACAATCCAGAAATGGTTCGTATTCATTAAAATGTTTTTTCAAGTAGGCGGTTGTGACAAATCGAAGATACATGACTATTTGATTAGAGATACTTTCATCTTGAAAGATGGATAACAACTTGTCATTATCATATTTTCCTTCTACAATAGCTTTTAAATGTCCTTCGACTTCTTCATACATGTCTTCATAAATCAATTCTTCATACCAAAGCGGAAGAAGTTGAACTTTCGTATAAGTCAACGTTTCGAGTGCGGTTTGATGAATTGTTGGGTCTTTAGAATTTAAAAGTCGTTCGAACCACGCAAAACCAAAGGCTAGATAATACATGAATGACTAACTTATTAATTAATACATTTCTCATTTATTTCTAGTAATGCAAATATATTACCCCTATAAAAACAGCTGCCATCACCTCTGCAACGTCTTATTGTATGATGTTTCTCAGCCAATTTCTAACATGATGGCGATTGGTGATTAAAAAATAAGTTCTTGGTGATAATCATTGGCAGATGGCTTGTTGTTGACATTTGCAAAAGAATACAACAAACCATGATCTTCTGTTGATATACTTCACTACCATGCAGATATTCTTTTAATAAATTCTCAATACTTTCAGGCGAACATACGAGCGGTGTTTTTTCGGCGGTTTCTCTTCTGATGGACTCGAGATATTCTTGGTTTTTTTCAACCGTATATTCGGAATATTCATGTGCATTCGCATGATCATTTGTATGATCCTGATGTGAACTGCTTTCAGTTGACGCGTCTAAAGTTGAAGTATCAGTAGGTTGATGTTGTATGCTATCACTCATAGTTGTTTGGAAGTTGG